AAAAAATTTAAAGACTTTAATCAATGAGTCAGCATTTTGTATTATGTTTTAAATGAAGGTTTTATAATGTAACTTTACACAGTAAATACAAATCTGTTACCATTAATTTACTATTAGCTGTGAGTTTAAATACGGTTTTGGTAGAAATTATTTTTTTGTTTTTAACGGTTGTTGTTTTAAATCCTTTCTTTTTATGTACTTCTTTTTCTTTTTGTGACATGACATGAGATGACTATGTTTATTTTTCAATGTACCTTCAGTTCATTGTCTCTTCATCGTTTTCATGGCCTTTCCACTCTGTTTGGTATTCTGCACTTCTGTTTAGAGCTTTGCGTAGTGTTGTCTTGAAGTACTCTATTGCTCACATAAGATTAAGATTTGGTAAACCTTCTTTTTCTAGTATCTTCTCCAAGCGCAACAATTTTAGCAAATTTGTCTCTGTTGTGGGTCTTCATTAGCAAATCATTTGAGACCAAGTCTGTCTAATCTGGTATTTTGTTAATCCAGAAGCACTGTCTATTCCTGGTCGGCGTCTGCCTTCGATAATATCCTCTATTATTGGTTAAAAAAAAATATTTTATTATAACTCATTACATCACTAAGATATGCAGTTTTCCGCTTTTTAATGATTTTGATTAGTTTATATTCTCTTCCCATTCGATGCAAAACTTCCAAGCTGGTAGTACGTTGCTATTCGCATCATTTTACGATCATATTTCATATACTTCTGATCTATTTAGGCTACTTACTCTTAGTAGTCTAGGCGGGATCTGTTTTGGATTGGACATATAGGAAGCTATTTTTTTGCTGAAATCGCTTCAGGATGTGCTGAATATCGATAATCACGATATGCGCCAGTCGCAAAACCTGTGCTAAATATTTTATTCAACAAAATCTGAAAGCAATTGAAAATTTCTTGTTTTTTCTGCTCCTATTTTCGTTTATAATTCGGAAAAATTAGGAAGTTAAAAGTTTCGTTGTTAAATTTTACACAATATTTCGTTAGCTATAAATTAAAAATGTTTATTGTTGAAAAAATAGCAATAATTGAAAAAAAAATACAAAAAATGAAGTTAATCTTTTAAATGTTTTGGACTTTCTAAACTTGACTTACCAGCTCCATATTCCGCCTAGATAAACTTTTAATATGTTTAAAACGTGTGCTAAATTTTGTTAAGATCGGTCAGATAAGTTTTTCATAATAATTTTGCAATCCAGCCTACTGGAAAAAAATCGCAAATTTTCAAATTTGTAGTAGGCCCTAAATAAGGCACTCAGTTAGTTGTAATTTTTTTACGGATAAAAAAAGGCTCAAACTTTCAAACGCTTTTTGTAAAATTCAAATCGGTTCACTAGCAGAGCCTATAAAATGTTTTAAAGTTTTAAACATTTTTAGGCTTATAAACAAATTCAATAACTTTACGAGTTTAAACATATCAATTTCAAAATTTGTACACTTAAAGAATATTAAAATACGCTTCTTAAAAAAAAGATCCATTCGGCTTACTGGTTTCCCATATATTGAAGGTCAAAGTTGGCATACATTTGCCGTGTAACCATAAGTGATAGAGGGCTGGTTTTTAAACAAATACCCCCGTTTTGTCAAGTACTTTTAATATGAAAAGTTTTACGTAATACGCTTCATGGCAACATCCATAAGAAAGACAAATAAAAAACCGTTTTCGCGTAAAATATCGCTCGGAATGCATGAAAGGTGGTGGTGGAAGACATTCACTCGAAATGTGAAACGGCGAGTTCCAAATTATAGCGCGCACTAAAAATTGCATTATCTCGGCTTCTTGTTAACCAATTTTGCTCTTTTTTTTAATCGATGTTTTGGACGAAAAGGATTTCAAATATCATATTTTAAAATACCAGTTTTAATTGGAAATTGGAAAATTTGCAATAAACAATTGTATGTTAAACAAATAATTGCATTTTTTTTTTCATGCATTTTTTTTGAGCTCGCAATTTATACATTGAAGTAAAGTTTAACTTTTAGTAAACAAATATGTATTTATAAATTGTTAATAAATAATTTGAATTGTTAAAACAAAGGCGAACGAAAAGTTTTTTGATTTGATATAAATATGATATTTGAAATCCTTATCGTCCGAGACATCGTATCGATTCAAGATAAAAAAGCAAAATTGGTTAACAAGAAGTCGAGATAATGCAATTTTTAGCGCGCGCTATGATTTTGAACTCGCCGATTCACATTTCGAGTGAATGTCCTCCACCACCAACTCTCATGCATTCCGAGCAACATTTTACGCGAAAACAGTTTTTTATTTGTTTTTTTTTTGTTTATAGATGTTATCATGAAGCGCATAACGTAAAACTTTTCATATAAAAAGAACTTGACAAGACCAGTGTATTTGTTTAAAAATGAGCCCTCTATCACTTATGGTTACACGGCAAATGTATGCCAACTTTGACCTTCAATATATCGGCAACCAGTAAGCCGAATGTATCTTTTTTTCTAAAGAAGCATCTTTTAATGTTCTTTAAGTCTATAATTTTGAAATTGATATGTTTAAAGCTCGTAAAGTTATTTAATTTGTTTATAAGCTCAAAAAATAATTAAAACTTTTAAAAAATTTCTAGTCTCTTCTAGTGAACCGATTTAAATTGTACAAAAAGCGTTTAAAAGTTGGAGCCTTCCTTTATGTAAAAAAACTTGCAACTATCTAAGGGCCTTATTTAGGGCCTACTATAAATTTGAAAATTTGCGATTTTTTTCCAGTAGCCTAGATTGCAAAATTATTATGCAAAACCTATTCGACTGATCTTAACAAAATTTAGCACACATTTTAAACATTTTAAACATATTAAAATGATTTTCTAGGCGAAATATGGAGCTTGTAAGTCAAGTTTAGATAGTCGAAAACATTTAAAGGAATAATTTCATTTTTTGTAATTTTTTTTTCAATTATTGCTATTTTTCAACAATAAACATTAAATCAATATAAGGTTGAATGTTCGAATAATTAAACTTTGAGGTTATACAAGGCAACTATCGAACACGGTGATTAATTTAATCTTGCCAAAGTACTTTCGATCAATAGATCATCTTCAGGGGCATTTCGTCAGTTGTGGCCTATCCGACATAGTAGAATGTCATAAATGTAAAATTTGGACATAACAATACAAAATACATACACACATAAATTTTAAAGTGTTTGTTTGTCTTAGTGTATTGTATTTTGTATTGTTATGTCCAAATTTTACATTTATGACATTCTACTATGTCGGGTAGGCCACAACTGACGAAATGCCCCTGAAGATGATCTATTGATCGAAAGTACTTGGGCCAGATTAAATTAATCACCGTGTTCGATAGTTGCCTTGTATACCCTCAAAGTTTAAAAAAAAATAAACATTAAATTTTCAATTTATAACTAACGATATAGTATGTAAAATTGAATAACGAAACTTTTACCATCTTATAATTTTTTCTCTATTATCAATATTTTTCAAATTATAAACGAAAATGGGAGCAAAAAATGAGACATTTTCAATTGTTTTCAGATTTTGTTAAATAAAAAATTTAGCACAGGGATTGCGACTGGCGCATATTGTGATTATTGATATTGGGTACATCCTGAAGCGATTCCAACAAAAAAATAGCTTCCCATGGAAAATGTCCATTATGGTCTGAATTTCTACAGATCCCGCCTAGTCTATAGCGTCTACGATTTACCATACCACCAATAACATTGTTTCTTCGTTAGTAATTTTTAAGCCCAATAGTTCTTCTTCATGTGATATTTTGTTAAGTAAATGGTAAACCTTTCAAACTGTCTGCGCATTTTTTTTTAATAAATAATCAATATTACTGATTATCACAATCTTCTGCGCCGTTTAAAATACTCTTTCCATGTTACATCAATACATATATCCATGTAAAAAATCATGGGCCTCAGTACACAACTTCTCTGACGTAATCGCTCTAACCTCATCCTTTGCCAAACTTCATGATTTTGGGCTTCTGGAGCTTATATTAAGCAATATACTTTGAGTTCATTCTGTGACTACACTTAGACACTGTTGTATTATTAGCAATAAATTTGTCATGGGCTAAGATGATCAGTTTATTCTCGTAGCTCAGAATACGTTGTCTCTCATCAACCCATCAATGATTAGATTTCTGAAGAGGGAATACGGGACTACCACCTATGTACAGCCCCTAGCTACCTGTTCTGACCCTATATCCTTCAATAATGTTGTAAACCTTGTGTACCACACTTCTCTTCAACATATAGTCTACCTACATGCAGTTTGTTTCGAATACTCTTTTCAATTACATTACTCTTGTGGTTTTTTTCAAAGTTTTTACTATCTAATATTCTTTCTATATCGAGAAATGTATCCAACATCATCTCTTGGTTTATAAAAAGTACTCCACTTTTTCTATGAAATAATGCAGTCTTGCTTGCATCGAGAATTCTGATATATTATAAACATTGAACTTTGAGGGTATACAAGGCAACTATCGAACACGGTGATTAATTTAATCTTGCCCAAGTACTTTCGATCAATAGATCATCTTCAGGGGCATTTCGTCAATTGTGGCCTATCCGACATAGTAGAATGTCATAAATGTAAAATCTGGACATAACAATACAAAATACACTACACTAAGACAAACAAACACTTTAAAATTTATATGGAGAAGCTACATATTGTGAAGAAGCGGAGACAGAATCAGAATTCTGTCTCCGGCTTCTGGGATTATATGTTATATATATATATATATATATATATATATATATATATATATATATATATATATATATATATATATATATATATATATCATGTACTGTTCTAATGTTTCCAATCTTCTTACGTTATTGCCAAATTTTAGCAAACCTAATGAGAATAATTGGATGAGGAGCCCCTGTACCTAGCTATATATTTTACGTCATTTCTTAGCATTTTGTAAATATCGTCCCTTTTATATTCTAACAAATTAATTTTTGAAATATTATTTTCAGAATTTTTGGCGGAAGCTATGTACCTAAGCGTTGACCCCTATATGAGGGCATACGTATCTGACTCATCTCTGATTGGGACAACCATGATAGGATCTCAAGTTGCTAAGTAAGTAAATATATTCTAATATTATTTAAAATTTTAAACCATAGATACACTGAATTTACTTAAATTTTTTTAAACAAAATTTGAATATGCACACTTACATTAAATAATATACCTATGTGCAAATTAGATATTTGACATTTAATTTTACAAAAATTTAGAGATCAAAAATAGAATAAAATAAGCAGCTTTTGAAATATAGAAGCATTTTAAGGTATTATATATTTCGTTTAGAAACACCCCTGTAAAATTTGAAATCATTTAGGTATTAATCTATTTTAACCATTTTTAAAAATTAAGTACGTCGTCGTCGTCACCTTCTTCGCAGATTATTCTATATGACCTGTTCTGGCTTAACTGTCTAACTTTTCCAGGGCCTCCTAGGCAGCGCCTTCCACGTGGGTGGTATCTTATTGCTATTTTTTGTAAGCGGTCCTTCCCACTTAAAAGTTCTACGCCAATGAAAAGTAAGTGGTAGCCGGTAGATACTCTTGTACAATCCCGGTATGTAATAGATCTACTTCAGGTATGCAACCCTGCCCATGCGAGTCATGACTTTCCCCCAACCCGTGACGGAGGAAGTCATGTCGCCACCCCAAGATTCCTACCAAAACAAATAAATCCTCTCACATATCCATTCCAAAGGAGTAAACTTCACACGAAAGAAAAATCATTGGGAAAGGCAACGAAAAACCAACCCAATTAACTTTTTCTAGTATAATCGCAATGGATCAAGTCAATATAGAAACGGCCCTTAGTCCCGGGCAGCCCTTAAGTGAGTAGAGGGTGATAAGAATCCCCCGATTGCCACAAATATTTACATTTAAGCATGGTAACATGAAACATGAAATGTACGAAGTTTATTGCAGACCGAAAAATTGAATAACGTAATTAAAGAAATGCGAAGACTCAACATTGACGTACTTAGTACGATGCAGTGAAGTTAGGCTTAATTTAGGCCAGTGCGAAATAGAAAACCACACAATATACCACTGTGGAGATACTACAACAAAAAACAAAAACGGAGTGACTATAATAGTAAATAAAGAAGTTAACAAATGTGTACTTAGTTTTATGAGAATATCAGATAGAGTTGCAGTACTCAAAATTAATGCTAAACCAGTTCACGTGAACATTATTCAAGCATATACTCCAACTTTGGCTTAGAGTAGGAAATAGAAATAGTCTATGAACAACTAAAAGAATTCCTAAAACATACCAAAAAACAAGAAATGCACGCCAAAGTAGCCAAAATAGGCAATACTGTGGAACACTTGGACTAGGAACGAAAAATGATAGAGAAGACCGCCTTGTTCAGTTCTGTAAGTAAACGGATAGTGCAATAATGAACACCTTTTTCCAATTACCACCTGAAAGATTCTACATCTAAAAATCCCCAGCTGACTGTCCAAAAAAATATATTAGAAACCAGATTGACTAGATCATCACCAACAAGCGATTTCAGAATTCCGTAAAATCTGCAAAAACATATCCGGGAGCAAATGTTCCATCAAACCCTAATCTTTTACTAGAATGTTTCAAACTCCACATGAAAAAAGTGCATAAAAGAAAAGCACAAAAACGTCCGGATATCCAGAAGTTAAAAGATAAAACCAAAAGAGACGAATTCAAAGAGGAAATCAACAACAAAATAAACAGCATGGTAATCTCAGATATTAATCAATAAAACAAAAATGTGGATGATATATGGAATAAACTCAAAAATATCTGTAATTCATTGGCAAATAATAAACTGAAACCAGAAAAAAATATTAAGAAACAGCCGTGGATGGGACAAGAAATATTAGAGCTAATAGAAGAACATAGAAAACACAGAAATAAGAATGGGGAAAGGCCCAAAGAAAAAAACAAAACCATTAAGAAAAATAATAAAGAAGCAAAAGAATCATGGCTACAAGATCAATGCATAGAAATAGAATCACTAGAACAGAAGCATAACACTTTGAACCTACATAAAAAGATCAAAAACTCAACGGGAGGAAAGGGATCACGATGTCATAACTTAATACTAGACGATCACAACAATCTGCTTTACGAAAATGAGAGACTACTTGAAATATGGCAGCAATACATAAAAGAATTATTCAAGGAACAGCAAGAGACAGAAGTCAGTGTTTCTGAAAGTTCAGGACCAAAAATATTGCTCAGTGAAGTATTATATGCAATAAAAAGACTAAAAACCAACAAAGCACCTGGACCTGATATCATACAAGCTGAAATATTAAAACTATTTAAAAACAACCAAATCAAACTCCTAACAATGAACAAAATCTATAAAACTGCAAAATTTCGTACAGATTGGCTAGTTTCTACCTTCATCCCTCTCCCCAAAAAGGAAAATGTCACCAGATTCTCTGATTACAGAATTATAAGCTTAATGAGCCATGCACTCAAAATCCTTCTTTCTGTTATTCACACTTGCATATATAGAAAACTTGAAGAAAACATTAGCAGTGCTCAGTTTGGGTTTAGAAGGGGATGGAGAACGCGAGAGGCCCTATTTTTCATACAAGTATTGAGACAAAGAGCTCGAGATGTAAATTCAAATACTAAAAGAATCTAGTATTGATAACAAAGATTTATGCCTAATTAAAAATTTATACTTACAGCAAAGGGCGAGTAGACAACGAAACCTCACAAGAATTCACGATAAAACGGGAAGTACTTCAGGACTGCATTTTGTCACCGACGACGTGGTTCAATACTTACTCGGAAATGCTGTTCAGGGAAGCTATTGATGGTTTAAGAGAAGGTATAAAAATCAATGGTGAAATCATAAAAATTCAATATATGCGCACGATACGGTTTTGATTGCTGATAATGCGGAGAATCTGGAAACATTAATAGACCGTGAAGTGGAAGCCTGTGATAGATACGGCATGAAATTAAACTATAAGAAGACCAAAATTATTGTAGAAAGTAAAAACGACGTAATACAACACCTCTTCACAGCTAATAGTGAACCCTTAAAAATAGTCAACAAAATTACATATTTTGGATGCAGCCTAAATAAGGAATGGGACCATTCACAGCTGTCTTCAATCGCCTCAGAAAGATTTTATGATATATGCACCTCAACATTGATACAAAGTAGCGGGTTTAGAGTAGCGGGTATATACTCTTTTACGTTCCCGGTAGAAGATAGATCTACTTCAGGGATGCGACCCTACCCACGTGAGCCATAATTATCTCCCAATCTCCTGGTACCTGGGAGAAATTATGTCCTGAACCCATTCTCCCATCTAATTACCAAAGTTTCCATTCCTATATCCTACTCTGTCAGACAGTAGCATCAGTACCAAGATAGAGCGTAAGGGAAATGATCCTGGATCGGTATATTATTGGATACTAGAGCTGCTAAATTAACCGAACCATTACCGGTATAAGTAATCCCCCACCTGTTGGTCAACAGCTAAGGGTGTAAGAACCGACACGTGGTAGGGCACTTCATTGCCCTGGAGCATAGAAATTAACTCCGAAGGCGGAAGAACTAAATTAGTCAACGGCATTGAGATGTGGAAAGCTAGGGGATGACTACCACATTAAAGATCCGTAAGGATATCCTTAGTAAAAATCATCATGGACCCACTAATGGATAATTTACTTAATGATCATGGAGCTCGGAATCCAAGATCCGGCAGGGGAGGACAATCAGATTTAGACGACAGGGCCTCTCAGGTCGTCAACAAGGTAAATCCCTGTCAAGCAAATAACTCTATAGCCTTGAAAATCGGAACATGGAACGTAAGAAGTTTATACCAATCAGGCAAACTGAATAATGCTGTGTCGGAAATGTGCAGAATGAAAATTAATATACTGGGCCTTAGCGATATACAATGGCCTGAATCAGGAAATATAAGACCAGAAATGGAACGATGTATTATTCTGGAAACAACGATTCCAAGCACAAACGGGGAGTTGGCATTATAGTTGATAATAATTCTCATAAAGCTGTCTCTAACTTTGTTCCCTACTCTGATCGAGTATTAATGCTGTCTCTAAACTCTCATTTAAAACATAAAATAAATATAATCCAAGTATATGCACCCACTGCAGACAAGGATGAAGACACCATAGAGGCCTTCTATGAAGAAATCGACAATATCTTAAGACTAACTAAAAGACAAGATATAAATATTATAATGGGCGATTTGAACGCTAAAGTTGGCCAAGGAAAAGTGGAGAATTGCGTGGGGCGATATGGACTCGGGGAAAGGAATGAACGTGGCGATAGGCTTGTCGATTTCTGTGTCAATGAGGAACTCATAATTACAAATACCTTGTTCAAACTTCCTAAACGTAGACTATATACATGGAGGTCACCAGCTGACAATAACAACAAAATAGTCAGAAATCAAATAGATTATATTATCGTCAACAGAAGATATAGAAATTCTATAATATCATCTAAAACTTATCCAGGAGCGTACATATCCTCCGACCACAACCCGGTTGTTTTGTCGATGAGAGTGAAACTAAAGGTCAACAGCCCTAGCACCAAGAAAATTATAGATACAAGACGTCTCAAACAAGACAACACATATGTGGAAACCAAATTTAAAATAAACGAGAGCTTAAGGAAAGTCAAAGAAGATAATGCAGAAACTCTAACTATTGACCAAAAATGGGAAAAAATTCAACATGCCCTTGTGTCAGTTGGAAAAGAAACCCTCAAACCACTTAAAGAAAAAACAAAACCTTGGATGACAGTAGAAATTCTTGAACTCATGGAAGAACGAAGAAAACATAAAGCAAAAGACCTGAATAAATACAAAAAAATTCAGAGAAACATCAGAAAGAAAATTCGAGAGGCAAAAGAGAGGTGGCCCTCCGATAGATGCAAGGAAATAGAAGATCTGGATAAAAAGTATGATAGCTTTAATTTACACAAAAAAATCAAAGAAATGACAGGTTCTAGAAAGCTTACAAAAACAAATATCCTCAAAATTGATAAAGGGGATATTATTACTGATATGAAGGAG